ACTAACATTTTCTAGACTAGCCGAGCAATGTTTGATATTGACTGATGACAGTTTTTGAATTGTTTTGCCCTGCTAACACTTGCTTCTAGCCAGATCGTGATGCATATATCGCAAGGATGCAAGCAGTCCAGAGTTCCTATCCCAGCCAATGCAATGTTCTGCCCATATCCTGCAGCCAGGTAAGTGATGTTCAAATCCCTTTTCCAGCCTTTTTTCTTACTTGCACATCTAAACATATGAGCTGAGTACTGATGTGATACGTCTCGCAGCTTCCACCGACCAAATCCACCTCCGCGAACGCCAATGACGTGCTTTCAACAACCCACGCGCTCTCAACGCGTATTCTACGCCAATTTCTTGCACGTCACTTTTTTTTTTCGTTAGCTGTTCGGTGCATGCACTTGTGATTGTTAACATTCTGACGAAACATGCAGAAGAGAATTTCTTCCAAGACCGCCGCCTTTTGTTGCACACAATGACAAAGACCACTAAGATAGCAAATGATGAGACACACTATTGGCAACAAACGTGCTACGATCGGTAGACTTTCAACTGCTTCTTTGATTCCAATCCGAAACTCGCTCTTCGCACACACATACACACCCACACACGTGGGCGGACATCAATTGACGACGAGAAATTTTATGGGTCGATCTATCGTAGCAACCCATGGCACCATCAAATCAACTTTAAACAAGCTGATCTTCCGGAGCAACTCTAAAGCTGTCGAACGACTATTCCCCACAGACTAAGAACCCTTCAGCACGTCATCGCTACTCAAATAACACTGCTGTTATCGTTTCTGTTATGGGGAAGCCTACTTTTGACGACCGTGTGGCCCGCCGGTGGGCCACACTTTCGCTCGGTGGCGACACGTTTTTAGGGTTTATTTTGGCATTTTTTATGTTTCAAAACTACACAAATACATTATCGAAAATAATGCGCTAATTACTAATAGTGAAATTGTTGGAGAGTTAATGATTATTGATGAAAAAATTTAGAAAGAAGTGAAGTGACGCATTCATAACGGCGGTCGTCAAAGGGTTAATGAATGAGTCACAAGAGTCCTGTGGACTCGAACTACCGCTTGTACGCCTTCTCAGAAACCGATAGTCGCACCCAACTTTTAAGATCTCCACCCGCCGTTTGCCATGTGGTAGAGGTCGGGTTCACGCCGGTGCGAACAAACCGATTACTTCAACCCCGGGGAATAGCTCAAAACGCTTCTCAGCACCGCGAAGACGGCGAAAACAAAATCAAACAGGCCATAATCTGATGTTTAAAAAATTCTGGCTCAATCACCTTATTGACATTAATGAAGAAAGTTGTCGAATTAGCCGCTGCACTTGTGATTCGCATCTCAAGGCGAGACATTTCAGCTTCAACGAGTGGAATGTGCTAAAAATATGAGAAGTAGGTGATATTCACAAAAAATCCTCAACAGCCCGTTAAGATTTTCGTATTCGTATTTTTGTACCTGGAAGAGGAAATTTTTTTCAGCAGCATTCAACATGATTCCTAATCCGACTTGGCGACCATGTTCATCATCCGTCTGGGAGCCGCAAGAGCTCAAGCGAGAGCGCGACTTCCATCTTGTTGATGGCGCTGAAATGAGGCCCACGATTAATTTTCTCGATCTCGTTTTTTATGTATACCTCAAATTAATCCAAAATAACCATTCATTGTAGGTCCCAGATTTTCTTGGGCAATCTATTACTCAGGCGTCTACACCAAGCATAGTATATAGATAATAAATAAAAAGGCCTCCTAGATTATTGTATCCCACAAGAATTGGGGCAAGCCAAATTGCTTAAAGCAATGTCACTCCTTGAAATTTGAACCACCTTAAAAATTTTCGGTGATCGGTGACGATAAGGAAGAGTTCAGCTTTAAATAAGACTACCATTTGCCCTTCGACGAAATAAGCCCTTTGATAAGACTACCATTTTCGCAAAACATTCAATAAAATTTCTTGTTGAAATGCCTACCAGATTCTACCCGCTACCTATCCACCTGACATGCCTATTTCTTTTGAACACCAATTTTCATGAATCACCCCTTAATTTTTTTAAACAGAAATTCTCATAAATCACCCCTCAAATGTATCCATAGCTCAAATGTGAAAATATCTCGTGACTAAACGATCAGATTTCCCCCGCCACTCGCACTCTTTTCGCTCGAAATCTCGCCTCATCACTACAGCCGAAAAAATTATACCCTATCATCGCCCCCACAGCTTTGTCTGCCACGTTGACCACAACAGGCTGAACACCCAAAGACACAATAGCCTAATAGGGCGTGGGTAGGCTGTGCTAATATACATATCCATTGCTGGCATGTGATCCGACACCAATCCCCGCGAACATCTGCAAACACTGTAGGAAATGAAATCACCACCCACACATAAGTTCACGTCATTTCAAAAAAATAACCCTATAAGATAAAGTGGATCAAAAAACCTTGCATGACACTTGAGATCAACAGAGCACGTGAAACGCGGCCGAATTAACTGTTCCATTTATACCTCATCCGTACCAAAAACTATACTTTTTATCATTATTGTCCTTAACGATCAATCACAATTCACGGGCCCTAAGCCCGTCACTAAACCCTTCACTGAGAGAAACGTAGAAACGCAAGGTTCTTTTTGGGAACGAGACCTCAAAATCGATTCGGTGGATTCATATATTTTTCAGCAGCACTTCCCCCACATGATCTGTATAATTCCTGTGTCACTCAGACCATGGAGCAATCGTTTAGCGATGTTCCACAAAGGCCAATGCTGTGTACACACATATGACAACGTAGAGATTTGATCCCAGACACAATGGCAATGCAAAAACACGAATTTTCGAGCACTTTCTGATAGAAGCACTGGCACCAAGCAGCTCACTTCCAAAACTGTTGTTTTTGATCAAAGTGGAACATTAACGAAATCAGATTAACTCTGAATAAAAATATCCTGAGCCATGCTTCTACAACGAGACTGAAGGTCATCCAGTTCCTCTCGGCATTACGCTATCTCAGTTCCATTTCGACGAACTGCCTTGAGAGTCATAAGCCGTCAGATACTGTCAACAGAACGCAAATAAAAGGCCGTGATGGACACTTCCAAACACGTGCCTTATCATGAGCCTCTCCCGGAAAGGCGCCATGATGCTCCCAGGTAGCGACGCTTATCAGCACTGCCATCGCAGGCATGGTGGATCAGCGGACGGTGGGATCGTTCTTGTTCCACCAAAACAACTAGTGCGACCACGGCGACGGCGACGAAATGCCGACGTAGCTGCAATCGGAAGAGCATAAGAGGAAAGGAGATCCGCAAAACTGGGCGCGCTCGAAACAAGGGAAACCACTTTTCCAATCCCTTCCTCAACAAGAAAAAACTCTCTCGAAGGAAAAGCTGCCATTTCAGTGGATTTGGATTCTATTGGATATTAAACCGCTAACAAGGAAGTGAAATGGTGCTGAAGATTGCTAAAGATAACTCAGACGCAGCACATGTTCAGTCAATAAAAAACAGCTGGTTAGCAGCAGCCTTGGGTTATAACACGAATAGCGATCGAATGGAAATAAACTCATGACACTCTAGTATAGGTATAAATAACCAACACTGAGCAGAATTTGATTTATAGATCGTTAAACAGAATAGAATCAAAAAAAAACGAAGAAATTCGAGCATTGCTCGTGAAACCGTCAGATCATAGAAGTGACGCTAGAATTTGCGAACCCGGCCTATTCCAATATCCTTCAGCATCACTAAACCCTCCCAGTTTCCCATTCCGCCAGGCGCATCAAGAAAACAAAAAGAACATACATTGCTCGCACAAGCTCGTCTTGTGCGACATCTGTAGACGACGGTCACGTGACAATCTTGACGCAGTCGGTGGAGAGAATGGACGAACTTCGTCAGTGTCGTCATCCAACTGCAGGCTGGTGTTACGCACCTGTAAACGATAGATGGCGATAGCAATTTAGAAGAGTAGCTACTCGATGTAGTACATGAGGGACTGAACTAATACATTTATGCTGGCCACTTACACGCTTGAATGCTTCTGGTGGAGCAGTAGACGAGATACATCCGGGCTTACTATGATTTATACCGTTCATGCTGTCCATGGAACGAACCGTAATGTACTGTGATTGCGATTCCGAGTCCGACGATTCCAATGACTCGGCGTTTGCGCGCATCTCTCTGAACGTATTCTCGATGAATAGGATTCTAGCAAAGAATATACACTCTGAGGACATCAAATACTGCCTTTTATCAAAAAAAGAATACAAATTCATAAAATCAATTCAAAAGACTAGATAAAGTAAAAAACATTTTCCAGTATTATACATTGCCAAACAACAAACCTTGAGCTTATTCGTGGTATTGCGAAAACGCGACTAATAAGCAATCGCTGATCCTCGCTAAAAATTCGAAAGTTTTTGAAAAGTATCGTCGATCTTAAATCAATCGGAACTTACGATATTGTGTGGATTTTGAACGAATCGCTGCCCATGGCTGTAGGCATGGCGCCAAAAAGCATTTGTGATATAGTTGAAATATCACGGCGACGTTTGAGAAGCTGAAAATAGAGCAGTTATTGAAAGATTCCTCTGAGCAACATCCACACACCTAGGATTTAAATACCACTGGCAAGATTTTTCATATAACATGAACAATTTACCATTAGTCACATGGGATTGGAAAAAAACCTGTTGCGAACATAAGGTAGCTCACTCACTACACTCACCCTCTTACTCAACGTTAACCATGATTCTGTTTCTTCTTCCCAAAAAAATTAAGTTCGGTCAACCGATAAATTGCTATTTACACAGCGAAATCTGACGAGGTGCACTGCAAGGGATGCAAAAACGGAAAATGCAACATCGCAAGCAAATTACTGTACTATGAAGTTTACACTAAGAGCCAGGTAAAAAAAAGCTCCGACTACGGCTGAGCTACCACATCGGTTGTGACGTGGGCACACGCTGAACGGAATCCTAATTTAACAAAAATGAGAGTAGTATAGAGTCGTGCTGCTCTTTCCTTAATGTAGAAACAAAAAAGCCACAGCCTGCGCAGCGTATCTTCATCGATGCCACATCACTGCACTCACTTTCATCTTTGCACTTTAAATTTCAGACACAATGACAAAGAAGTTCACTTATTTGGCGACTATTCCTCGAGTAATAAGTTCTTTTAATCAAATGGTGGCTATTTTCAACAGTATCAAATGAATTGGGTGGAAGTTTCAGATTCAGTTAGACACACCTGAAATTTTTTACAAGCTGAAAGTTGAGCATTTGGTGGAAGAACCCTGCATCCAATCGGTACTATGGATGCAGTGTCGAATAAAACACGTTGCTCGGCTTCGATTAGCACCATTCGAAGCATATCCGGACGAAGTTCTCGTTCACGAGTGGTACTGCAAAGATAACTACTTTAAAAAAAGTGCAAAAATAAAACAAAGGCTCCACTCACCAGAAGGAGTCGAAGACAGGACTTTTTGTCACTAAGGAAGTCGTATCTCGTTGCATAGATGCTGCACCTGCCGCTCTTGGTTGATGTCCATTTCGTTCACCAGGCGGTTGTGGCTGCACAAATGTATTCGAATCCGTCTTACGCCGTTTTGTAGCGGGAAATATCGTTTTGATGAACGACATAGTCCAAAACCACTTGAAGAATCCTAAAGTACTGACAGTTTCGGGAAAATATGATGCAAGGACTGGAAAACCTAGTCCCATAAAGAGCAATATCATCATCTATGAAGATATGTTAATGAGAACTATTACATAGATGCTGCTTCGGCGAAGCATCATAAGAGTAAGCAAAGAACACAGTAGTTAGCGAAGCAAGATGATAGGCTGCTATCTGGTGGCAAGCACAGTTGACGCTTCATTATTGCGCTCAAGCATTGATAACGGAATGGCGGTGTGAAAAGGAGAAGTTTAAACAACGTAGACATGAGTGTACTCACCAATACTAGAAGTGAATCAGATTTTCTATGAGTATCTGCGCCGGCGGCACATCTGCCCATCCAAGCCAGAACCTGAAAACGATATCAATCAACTATGTATGGTGATCAATGTATGCACAAAGAATTCATTTATTTATTCATACGCTGCATTACACAAAACTAAATAGATACAAGAACGTGAATAAATCCAGAGAAGGGACTTACAAGGGGGTCTTTCAGGGCAAGCCATGCTTTTTGGAAACGGTTTCTTGCATATTGTAGGGACGCATGTATGGACCACAAAACCATGTTTCGTTTTCGCTGAACGGTTTTAGTAGTACCAAAAAAGTGGTGAATGATACCCTTGATGGTTCGATCCCCCGCGGCGACTAAATTTTGCAATCAAGGTTGGCGGCCACTTGTTGGCTTCAAAATGGTCCTGACGATGAATTTGACATTTAGCGCGATTTGGCACCAAACCGTAGGCGCCAACCCAAATGCAAAATTTAGTCGCCACGGGGATCGAACCATTAACAGTACCTTATGCTTCTTTTTGGTACTGCTAAACCGTTCAGCGAAAATGAAACATGGTTTTGTGTTCCCTACATGCGTCCCTACAATATGCAAAAACCGTTTTGAAAAAGCGTGGCTTGCCCTGAAAGGCCTCCCTTCTTAGTAACAAGACAAGCGAATGAACAAAAGAGCGACATCTATGCTCGAAGAATGTGTTTGGTTACTGTCAATTTGAGAGACGCAATCCATCGATGCAAGGAAAATTGTTTGTCCGTAAAAATGAAAGACCAGCTAAATTGTGGAAAAGAATTCGCCTAACAAATATTTTTAGTCTGGAAAAGGATATTTTGTTTGACCCGCCCCTAGTTTCTAAAGAATGAGATAAAGGGCCGTATGCTATGCTTCCCCGAAGCTAGGTGATCCAAAGTTTCCTTTAAATTTATTTGTTTTGAACGATATAGTTTCTTCATTTTCAGTGCATGTTTACTTTACCTACATACATACATTAAATGTAGGCCCTTTATCAGGGCAATCCCAGTTGGGAAGACAGAGAAAATTTAAAGGGATTTTCGTCCCCTAACCCTTCGGGGAGGATAGCATACGGCCCAAAGAATGAGAAGATAGAAATACGAAACATTATTCGCGAAATTGCGTTCGAGGAGTTTATCTAGTACGCATAGATAGAAAAACAGCGACTAGATTCAGCGAAAGGCAAATCAACAAAAGAAGCTGTATGCAACTCAGTTTTCAGGATCGTGTTGAATGCAATCTTTCTTTAACGAGTCTCATGTAACATCATGAATGGAGTAATAGCAAGAAATTGGAGTTCAGATTGCGTACGAATTCCAAAATATAGCACTATATAGAGCACAAAATACAATCACAAGGATGAGCTGATGGAAGAACCTCTGCCCACCTAACACTGAACCAGCTCGAACTCCAATCAAGCAATTACACTGAGTGGGCGGAGCCAATCAAGAATGCACGGGATACGCAAGAAAAATTCGCCTCTTTCTAAAATTCAGGTCATGAAAGCGTACAGTGCTGAAAAGCGAGGGGTAAATTCAAAAAGCCAAAACATCATACACGATGCGGAAGAAATCTAACAACACTATTGATAGTGGTACCTAGACGGGAACGCATCGCGTACAGTCGACATAGGTGGCCGACGCCGACCATAACAAAACGATTCAGCGTTTCTCGGCACGAAGCGTCGGGGAATTCCGATACAGAAAGCATCCGGAGACGCCAGCCAGTCGACCGACATTCATGCGAAGCACACGTGAGCGCGGTGTACCACACCGCTTCGTTCGACGACCATTATAATAACACGTGTCAAACGATGAGCTGCAAGTACCACAGTGGCGCCGCTTTTTCGAGGACGGACAAACACCATCAACCAGCCATCATCTCCCTCTTTACGTATCAGTGCAACAACTGCTATGATCACGAGGATTCATGGCGCGCATCATGTCTGGATAAAAAACGGGAGCCAAGACTAGGATTAGGTTAATAGAACGTCACTCTAACGATGACGCATTGAAACAGTACTCAAATCACAGCTTCTAACAGACTCCTCACGAGCGAATATATGAGCAGCCCTGTGGTTGGTACTCTTCACTGCTCACGGAATCAACAACCAGGAGCAAAGTCGTATCAACCCGCAGTCTGCTCATTCCGTGGATAGCGGATTGCAAATCATCAGAAAAAAAGCCAAACGGGGTCTCCAGTTAGGGGGGGGGGATCATCATGGTAGTTTCCCAGAAAGCTAGGGTAACTCCGAGCCAGGGGAGTGTAGCCAGTCTAGGGGGTGGGGGGTGAGGGCAGTCACTTGACATGCGTGAAAAGCTGGAATGTTCGAGTTCACACTAGTTCGCCGAGAAACTGCATCATGATGCCCCCTAACTGGAATAGACTGGCCACACGTTCACTTCGCCATCGTATCTGACGCTCCAAAAAATCCTACCCAATGGCGGGACGACAAACAGGGCCCCTAAACACAAACAAAAACCAAGACAAATTAAATTTAATACAATGCATTTTAATTTGACAAGAAAAACCAAATAAAAAAGAAAAAGGGAATGAAAGAACAAAAGCTGTGACAACATCATCGCGTAGCCAACGTTACGGCCACAGGGAATCGGCTAATCGCTAAGTATGAGCGCTGCCCAATCAGACCATTACAGGACATCTCAAAACCGACGCAAAAATGACATTTTCCAAAATGACATCACCTTGCCGGTGCATATTTAAACAAAAGAGTTTCAAAGAGAAAAATTTGTTTGAAGAATAAGATGGGGAGCAAAGCGTTCAGCGCTAACTCCTAAAAATGTACCTCGCGTTGCGCGCTTTTTTGGAGCTCGTGTCAAGACCCTACATACATGTCTGAGCAACCACGCAGAAAATCCATAAGAGGAGCAAGGTAGATCGTAAAAAAAGACAAAGCAATAGTAGCTGTAGCTTCTGTTTGATCTCGACCACTGCACCTCCGTTCCAGTTTAAAGGGGAAGCCGCAAAAGATTACAATATGAGAAAGCAGGAGGTCCGGAAAATCAAGCGAAATGAATAATGATCAGAAATCAAGAGCGGCTCGGTTGCTAGTCACACCAACTCGAGATACGAGAGTCATTAACATAGCCCAAATAAGCCAGCATATCCAGAGACAGACCTATCTCGGGTCAAAAAAATCCCGGCCTAAAAAGCCTACACGGCACAAATCCAAGCACAACATGCTGTCAATTACCACATAATTCTGTACTTCACGACTTCCTCTTGTTACATGTATGAGTAATTATAAATTGACACTTTCGAGTAAAGATGTACCAACACTTAAAAGGAATCTGCGTAAGAATCGAAAAACAATTTGTGCTAGAAGCACAAAAGGACACATCGTCGTGGTCGCAGACTAAAGCAAAACAAAGCGCAATGAATTTGAATCGTGCAATGTTCGGAAACATTTCCATTCCCATATAAACATAACTGCTGTAATTACATAAAGGTTAAAATGTTCACAGATGTGATAATAAAGCGCAAATAACCGTCTCGGCAAAATAGCGCAGCAGTGGAAATTCTCAATTACATCGGCGATGTGAGAAGAGCGAACAACAGAAGATCGTAAAATAGATGTGGCATTTATAGAACCGCGACTTGGCGGCATTTGAGAAACGCGTCGAACAAAGTTCAAGCTGCCTATCAGTGAGAAATCATTAGTGTGCATTTTGAGCATCTCGCAGGGAAGACATAGTAAAAGAATCAACGTAAGTTTGTACTGAACTGGAGAGATGACCTACAGAAGAAAGGTGGGTCC